TCCTGCAGAGCAATAGCCCCGGCAGCACCATGCGATTTGCCACTGCTCGGAAGACATCCAGTGTCAGCAATGTCCTTGCAGGGACACACCAAGAACAGAAGATCGAGCAGAGCCCCGAGGTGCTGTCCCTTGCCCTGGATCCCCTGGAGCACGAATGGCTGCTGACAGTGGCCCAGGGTGATGCAGACGACATCATAACGCTGCTGGACTAAAGGAAAGACTTTGTGACAGGCTTCACTGCTCTCCACTGGCTTGCCAAGCATGGCCACTATGAGAGCTTCATCCAGGTCATCTCCCATGCCCAGAAGAAGGGCTATCCCATCAACGTGAACATCCCTACAGCCAGTGGTGGGTTCACCCCCTTGCACGTGGCTGCCCTGCAGGGACACGAGCTGCTCATCAAAGTGCTGGTGGGAGCTTATGGGGCAGACACCAGCCGCAGGGACCACAATGGACGCAAGGCTTGGCAGTACCTGAGTGCAGACACCTCCCAGGAGCTGAAGGAGCTGGCAGGGGCCTTGGAGGAGGACTTGGTCCAGCTGTGCTCTCACAACACCAACAACAACTGTAAGTCATCCAGAGAAGCCAGGGCAGGGCAGGACTGTGTGGACTCTAGGGCTGAGGGGAAAGCCCAGCGCTCCTGGAGCATGTCGACCCTCCGGGTCTTTGTCAGACAGGCATTTACTTTCTTCCAAGAGCGCTAAAGCTCCCTTGGCCCCATTCTCCTGCAAACCTGCACTGAATAGCAGCTGGAAAAGGCTGTGAAGAGCTAGGAACTGGGCAAGGGCTGACACTCGAAATCCTAGCCAAGCAGGGATTAACCTCCTGCACAGGGGCACTGCGGCCACCCCAGGTCTCATGTAGTCTTTCAGGGCTTGGGCTGGTGTCAGCGTATGTGCAGCCGTGGGGAGCACTGCCTGGGGACAGCCCTAACAAAGTAACGCCTGTGTCCAAAGGGGATTTTGTCCCCATCCATCCCTGCTGGTGGGGATTCCTTGTTACAGCCCAGCAGAGCCCCACAGCGGGGGCTCATGTGCTGGCATTGCTGTGGGGAGCTGCTTCAGCGACACCCCGCATGCCTATGGGGGGATGCTGACCCTCCATGGAAGGTGGTGTCCTGTGCTGGGGTGGATGTTTGTGTGCCCGTCCCAGGCTGCCGGCAGACTTTGTGCATGACTGTAGGTGGGTCGTGCAGCGACTTGGTGTCTTTGTTGTCCCGCCTATGAAATGAGGCTGTGTCGTGGTTTAAGCCCAGCCGATAACTCAGAACCACGCAGCACTGCCCTGGCTCCCAGCAGTGCTGTGAAGTCGGACTCGTCGCGGCACCTCGGGTGCCTGGATGGAGACACTGGCAGAATACAATTACATACTTCACACTCTTGTGATGCCAGAGGCCTGGCACTGGGCTGACGGAGAACCAACTATGGCTTCAGAAACAACCCCCCACTTT